TAGCTTCCGGCCAGGCACAGTGGTGCATGCCTATAAACCCAGCACTTTGGGAGGCTGAGGCAGGAGGATTGCTTAAGCCCAGGAGTTCAAGACCAGCCCTGGCAACATAGCAAGACCATGTCTCTACAACAAAATAAAATTAGCTGGGTATGGTGGTGCATACCTGTAGTCCCAGCTACTCAGGAGGATTGCTTGACTCTGGGAGGTTGACACTGCAGTGAGCTGTGATCGCACCACTGCACTCCAGCCTAGGCATCAGAGGAAGACCCTGTCTCCAAAAGAAAAATGTAGTTTCCACACCCTCAGCCCCCGACTGCCACCTGAAATGGTTATACCATGGAGAATGTACTTTCTAGCTAGGGAATATTCCCAGAGCCCCTCTCTGATACCCTGGGAACAATTTTAGGGGTTTTGGTATATAAAAAAGAATGCCAGGGTTTGAGAGTGACTCTGTATTTACCTTTCAGGGAGCCAGGTGTGGGGAGGACAGCCAGTGTATCCCCAGGAAACTGACGATGCCTGCATCTTCCCTGATGGTGGACCTTGCCCATCTGGTCCTTGGTCTCAGAAGAGAAGCTTTGTTTACGTCTGGAAGACCTGGGGTGAGGGACTCCCTTCTCAGCCTGTCATCTACACTTGTGTTTACTTCTTTGTACCTGATCACCTTTCTTTTGCCCGCCCCTTCCACCTTAACTTCTGTGATTTTCTCTAATCTTCATTTTCCTCTTACATCTTTTATCTTCCATAGCACCTAGCCCCCTTGAACTCTATCATAATTCTTTCTGGCAGCTTTTCCTCAATTATAGTCCTACCCCATGGAATGCCTCATTAGGACCCCTTCCCTGTCCCCCCATATCACAGCCTTCCAAACACCCTCAGAAGTAATCATACCTCCTGACCTCCCATCTCCAGTGCCCTGTTTCTAAGCCTGTCCCTCAGTCCCCTTTGACCAGTAATCTCTTCTTCCTTTCTTTTCATTCCAAAAACTTCAGGCCAATACTGGCAAGTTCTAGGGGGCCCAGTGTCTGGGCTGAGCATTGGAACAGGCAGAGCAATGCTGGGCACACACACCATGGAAGTGACTGTCTACCATCGCCGGGGATCCCGGAGCTATGTGCCTCTTGCTCATTCCAGCTCGGCCTTCACCATTACTGGTAAGGGTTTAGGAAGGGGCAAGGCCAGTCATAGGGCAAGAGAAGGCAGGGAGGCTTGGAGGGACTGGAAAGGGGAAAGGTGAAATGCTGTGCAAACTTAAAGTAGAAGGGCCAGGAAGACCTGGGCAGAGAAATGTGAGGCTTAGTGCCAGTGAAGGGCCAGCCAGTCAGCTTGGGGTTGGAGAGTGTGGCTGTGAAGGGAGAAGTTGTGGCTCAGGCCTAGTTCTCACCTTTTCTGGCTCCAATCCCAGACCAGGTGCCTTTCTCCGTGAGCGTGTCCCAGCTGCGGGCCTTGGATGGAGGGAACAAGCACTTCCTGAGAAATCAGCCTCTGACTTTTGCCCTCCAGCTCCATGACCCCAGTGGCTATCTGGCTGAAGCTGACCTCTCCTACACCTGGGACTTTGGAGACAGTAGTGGAACGCTGATCTCTCGGGCACTTGTGGTCACTCATACTTATCTGGAGCCTGGCCCAGTCACTGCCCAGGTGGTCCTGCAAGCTGCCATTCCTCTTACCTCCTGTGGCTCCTCCCCAGTTCCAGGCACCACAGATGGGCACAGGCCAACTGCAGAGGCCCCTGACACCACAGCTGGCCGAGGGCCTACTACAGAAGTCGTGGGTACTACACCTGGTCAGGTGCCAACTACACAGCCCTCTGGAACCACATCTGTGCAGGTGCCAACCACTGAAGTCATAAGCACTACACCTGTGCAGATGCCAACTGCAGAGAGCACAGGTACGACACCTGAGAAGGTGCCAGTTTCAGAGGTCATGGGTACCACACTGGCAGAGATGTCAACTCCAGAGGCTATAGGTATGACACCTGCAGAGGTGTCAATTGTAGTGCCTTCTGGAACCACAGCTGTACAGGTAACAACTACAGAGTGGGTGGAGACCACAGCTGGAGAGCTACCTACCCCTGAGCCTGAGGGTCCAGATACCAGCTCAATCATGTCTACAGAAAGTATTACAGGTAAGAGGACCAGTGTGAATGAGGTTCATGGAGGTGGGGTACCCTACTCTACTCTGTAAGTCTTACCCAGGACTCAGACATTACCTAATCCTTTGCTTAGCACTATGGTCCCCTCAGAGCTCTCACTGGCCTGGCTATAAAGCCCTCCAGTCTCTATTAATGACACGGAATAGATCTGGAGTTCAGGAAACCAAAGTCTTCCCCTAGGCCATGAGAGAAGAGCTTGTTGCTTTCTCTACTGCTGAGAATGGTTGGCGAGACCAGGGAACAGACTGTGATCATTTACATAATATTTATAGCTCATTTTCTGTTCAAGCATAATTGCACGGAAATCCTTCCCAGATTCCGAGATCCTGATCCTTCCATTTCCCAACCCTGGATTCCCATCCCAAAGCAAAAAGGGAGGAATGAAATAGTGATGCTTGAATGAGTTAACACATGTTGAATGTCTAGCCTAGGACCTGGCATAGTGTGAGATGTGATAAACATTTGAGAATTTTTTAAAACTCCAGTGCCACCCCTAACTGTGATTCTGGAGGAGTCATTTTCTTCTTCTAGGCTTCAGTTTCCTTATCTATAGAATAAAGTTTCCCAGGTCTTATCTGATTCCAAGCCAGTGACTCCAGAATCCAGTAACTCTGGTTCAACCTGAAAAAATGCCTGCTTGGCCTCTGCCTCCAGATGAGTCATCTGTCTCTTGATCTTGCTTCCTCAATCCTCTCCTGCCAGGTTCCCTGGGCCCCCTGCTGGATGGTTCGGCTACCTTAAGGCTGGAGAAGAGACAAGTCCCCCTGGACTGTGTTCTGTATCGATATGGTTCCTTTTCTGTCACCCTGGACATCGTCCGTGAGTCCTGCCTACTTTGGGGGCTGATGGAGGCAGCTATGTGCTGCCTAGGGCTGGTCAGTGGAAGCACACCTTGGGAGGAATTACTCACCTACATAGGAAGAATACCCAAATGCCAGAGTCCTCATTTGAAAGCACAGGGATGAGATTGGTGGAGCAGCCCTGGGGCTTTCCTGTCTATGGGCTTTTGGGGAGGCCAGGTAGAGGAATCCTAACTTGATAATCTTGCAACTCTGCAGAGGGTATTGAAAGTGCTGAGATCCTGCAGGTTGTGCCATCCAGTGAGGGAGATGCATTTGAGCTGACTGTGTCCTGCCAAGGCGGGTGAGTGTCCCACTAGTGTGCTGATAACTCTTGGGTTGACTGTTTCTCTGCTCTCTGGCATTTAGTGTCCCTTCCCAGATTCCCTTATATATTGTGACACCTCTTCCAGGCTGCCCACGGAAGCCTGCATGGAGATCTCATCGCCAGGGTGCCAGCCCCCTGCCCAGCAGCTGTGCCAGCCTGTGCCACCCAGCCCAGCCTGCCAGCTGGTTCTGTACCAGATACTGAAGGGTGGCTTGGGGACATACTGCCTCAATGTGTCTCTGGCTGATGCCAACAGCCTGGCAGTGGTCAGCACCCAGCTTATCATGCCTGGTAGGTCCTTGGACAAGAGCTAAGATGACGAAGGGAGTGGATAGAGGGTAGCTGGCAAGGAGCAGACACTGAGTGAAGCAGTGCCTGGGATTCTTCTCACAGGTCAAGAAGCAGGCCTTGGGCAGGCTCCCCTGTTCGTGGGTATCTTGCTGGTGTTGATGGCTGTGGTCCTTGCATCTCTGATATATAGGTAAGAGCCTCATCACACAGCTCAGACCCCCTTATCCCTTGTTAGCACTAGTCACTCCTCCTCAAGGGAGAAGAAACCATCTCTCCCTTTAAGGAAGCATGGTGTCCAGGAAAGAGCCTAGTCTTGTACGTTGGCCAGACCTGGGCTGCAGTCTTGTTTGTGGGACCTGGGGAAGTAGCTTAACCTGTCTAAGCCTCTGAAAAGTAGGTAAACTAATACTTGCCCTGTGGAGCTGCTGTAAAGATTAGAAACAATGAGTAAAGCACCTGGCTCTGAAGCAAGAGTGCAATAATTGATATTCGTGACTGTTGTTAATAATGTGAAGAGTGGGGGCAGTTTGGGTAAACTGAGTTTTCTTTTTCTTTTTTTTTTTTTTTTTGAGACGGAGTTTCACTCTTTTTGCCCAGGCTGGAGTATAGTGGCATAATCTCGGCTCACTGCAACCTCCACCTTCCAGTTTCAAGCGATTCTCCTCCTTCAGCCTCCCAAGTAGCTGGGATTTCAGGCACCTGCCACCACACCCGGCTAATTTTTGTATTTTTAGTAGAGACAGGGTTTCACCATGTTGGCCAGGCTGGTCTCAAACTCCTGACCTCCTCGTGATTTGCCTGCCTCGGCCTCCCAAAGTGCTGGGATTACAGGAGTGAGCCACCATGCCCAGCCTGGGGTAAACTGAGTTTTCTACCTGCAAGAAGGGCAGATCCCCCAGGCCTGGGGTGGCATGATCCTCAGGCAGGGAAGCTTATGGGGTGAGGGAGGAATGGACAGAGGTTACCACAGAAATAAGAGAGGGTAAACCCTGGAGTTGAGGAGAAGGGGAGGGAGCTAGGATCAAGGCTAAGCAGACTGGGATATAGGTGTGTTCCCTTCTTTGGAGAAGCACACAGACAAGCTGCTTTTGTCCATTTCTAACCAGTTTACCCCTTCTCCCAATATCAGGCGCAGACTTATGAAGCAAGCCTTCTCCATTCCCCAGCTGCCGCATAGCAGCAGTCACTGGCTGCGTCTACCCCGCATCTTCCGCTCTTGCCCCATTGGTGAGAACAGCCCACTCCTCAGTGGGCAGGAGGTCTGAGTACTCTCATATGATGCTGTGATTTTCCTGGGTTGACAGAAACACCTATATTTCCCCCAGTCTTCCCTGGGAGACTACTATTAACCGAAATAAATACTCAGAGCCTGATGCTGGTTTTTTGGTCGCTTCTTGGGAGAATCTATGTCATTTAAGGAGTGAAGGTATAAAAGAAGGATGTTTACCACTTACTTAGCAGATCCCAAAGGGGAAACACAAGTCATTTTATTCAGATGAGGCACTTTCAATGTATGTGTTTTGGGGTGTGTGTATGTGTGTGCGCAGGGGGAACAGTGAGGTGGTGCAGGATAATAAATACTGTAAGGGTGAAGGAACACTCCCCCAAGCTGGCAGGAGCGTGTGGCAGCAATGTACAGAGCCTCGGGAGTAGAGTCCAGGAATAGGGAGGTGGGTTCACGGCTGGCTTGGAGGCCAAGGGTGTCCCCTTTAGCTCAAGAAGCCAAAGAAATTGGTAGAGCGGGGGGGTGGGCCCATGAGCATGGGCATCTGGTTCTTGTGGGTGATCTTGATCTGGAAGGGAAGGGAGCACATTCAGAGGCAGGACCTGATGCTTTGGGGCTGTGGCTTCAGAGATTTGGAGGGAAATCTGTGGGGTTTGGGGTGGGTTTCTAGGTTCCTAGAGAGGCCACAATAGGGAAACCAGGGGCTGAGAAATCAAGGTTTAGAATGAATGATGTGCAGGGGAAGTTCAGGCATTAGAAGGGTGTAAAGAAGCTGTGGAATGGGGATTTAGGATCCATGGAGTCCAAGGGTTTAGTTTTTGGCTGGGATCGTCAATACTTACTGTACAGGGCGTCTGCATCCAGGGTTCTCCATCAATTTGCATGGGAAGGGTTTTTGTGGTGCTATGGGAGACCAAGGAACATTGGTGATTTCCTTACTAATTGAATACCAAAACTCTGCTTCTCAGGTTGACTTTGAGACCTTCTGTCACTGAGGGAGATCTAGTAAAATTCCTCCCCACCATTCCCATGACCCTTCTGCTGCCCCAGCCCCACACCTTCCCTCAGGGACCCTGGTGGAGTCTTCCTTACTGGAAGGTGATCTCAGAGCACTTGGCCAGCCGACGTCCCGCATTCTTGAGCTTGGTATAGATTTGGCCCATCTCAATTGCACCCTCCAGCCCGACTACTTCCAGTCTCTTGTCACTTAGGTCTGGGGAGGAAGTAGGGAGTTAAGTTTTACACAAATAGAGTATCCCCATAGGGAGTCACACTTTCCCTTGGTCCTGCCCACTCAGCTCCCAAGGCTGCTCCTCTCACCTGGTACACAGGTTTTCAGGATATCAGGGTCGGTGATGACTTTAGCTGTAGCACCTAAGGCCTGGTTGATCCCATAGATATCCCCATGGGGTTTCCTGGTATCACCCCAGAGGTTGGAGCCACCATGCATGCTAGGGATGTTTAGCACTGCGATGCCTTCTAGGGACAGGTTGCTCAGATCCAGCGGTTTCCCACATATCTGAGGGGAGGGGCACAGTCCCAGTTAGGGAGGGTACAGATCCTCACCTCATGGCATAATCATAGATGTGATCACTCCCTCCACCAGATGACAAACTGGGGGAGGCAGGATTTGGAGATGTGCAAGGGATGAAAATTGGGACTAGTGTATCTTGAGGACTTGGAGAATTGGAGTAGGAGAGCTGACAGGTCAAAGAAGTATAGGTTCAAGAATATGGGAAGTTCCTAAGGGTGCCATGGAGGGAGAAACTTGGCTATTAAGAAGCTGAAAAGGATGTAGGGTTGAATCTTATTACACACACCTCAACTGTCAAAGACTCCTCCAGCTTTTTGCATGTTGAGAAGATGGATTCAGATGTGGCAAATTCGAAGTACCATAGCTTGTTCTTCATTCTGTGTCAGCCCCAACACAAGGCCCAGTAGGGAGGGACAGATTACACAGTGCTGGTGGGGGTGGTAAGTGACAGGGAAGGGCATCAACCTCCTAACTTTAGTCCCATGGGGAACAAGGGTAGCTTTGGTTAGGGGATTTCCTAGAGGTGCCACTGCTCTTCTAAGCAATCTGAGTCAAACTTGGTCACAACCTGGCTCCTGACACTGTATGCCCACACCCCCCTCTCCTTTCCCTCACCTGCTGTTGAACTTCTCAGGATATTTCTCTCGCATGATGTGGAATCGATGAGCAATAGAGGCATCCTGGAGAGTTCAGGACATGAAGGTCAGTACAGAGCTCGCTATCTCCCTCCCCGTCTCCCCTCTCTCCCAAGTCCCCATGTTGCTCCCCATAGCGTGTTCCAAGATCTTCTCTTGCAACTCACACCACTGTACTGCACTCCCGATTTCCCTGTGTCACAGGTCACTTAACCTCCCCCCTCCCTTTCTGTTCTCCTCCAGCCTCTGACTGCTTGGCCCCCGCTTTCTTCCTTCTCCCCAAGCCCCATTCCACTGACCACACCAATGGAGAAGTAGTTATTGATGATTTGAAAGGGGACGGGGTCACTCTTTTCTTCGGTTTGTTGAGGTATCACCTCCACGGACCATCGATCCATATGTACCACTTTACTCGTCTCTAAATCCTTGAGGATCTTTGCCAGATTCTGTCCTTCATATCCTAGGAGTGGAGAAGATAGGTTAGCACTGAGCTCTGGGTCCCAGAGAGGCCTCTTCTCAGCTCCCAGCTCCACAAATTCCCAGGGGCCTTCTGCCCTGTTTCTGCAGAGCCTCCCAGCCCTAGCCAGTGACAGGGCAGAGTGCATGGTCACAGCTTCTATGGACCTTTCCTCTATACTGTGTGGAGGGTGAATGTTTCCAATGTGTGTGGATATGCAAAGATGGCACCAACAGTCATCTGGAAGGTTGGAGAGAATAGCTAGGGGAATGCTGAAAAAGATGGGTGACAAATAGGGATAATCCTCTCTCACACTCGACCCCTGATGCTTTCACTCCCCATTCAGACAGACCACAGTATAAAGCAACCATGTGTAAACGGTGTTATACAGGCAGAGTGAATGGAATAAAAGGTTCAATAGTAAAGAATAGAGAGCCCCCAAATAGACTCAAGTATATATGGAAATTTAGTATGTGATGTCATTTCAAATAAATGGGGAAAAGATAGATTATTCAATAAATGGTGCTGGGGAAAGGGAGGAGCAGAATGAAAAACTACCTACTGGGTTCTATGCTCGCTACCTGCACGACGTGACCATCCATACCCCAAACCTCCCAAAGTGCTGGGATTATAGGCTACCTGCGCCCGGCCAGAATTTGTACTAGAAGAAAACATTAGTAAATGTTTTTATAATCTTTGAATGGACACAACACTAGAAGCCCAAAAGAAAAAGATAGATAAATATAATTATGTTAAAATTTAAAACTAGATGGACATGGTAGTGCCTATAATCCCAGCTACATGGCAGGAGGATTGCTCGAACCCAGGAGTTCGAGACCAGCCTGGTCAACATAGTGAGACCCCCATCTCAGAAAACAAACAAGGCCAGGCGCAGTGGCTCACCCCTGTAGCCCCAGCACTTTGGGAGGCTGAGGCAGGTGATCACTTGAGGCCAGGAGTTCGAGACCATCCTGGACAACATGGGAAAACCTCATCTCTACAAAAAATATAAAAATTAGCCAGGTGTTGGTGGCTCACACCTGTAATCCCAGCACTTTGGGAGGCTGAGGCGGGCGGATCACGAGGTCAGGAGATCAAGACCATCCTGGCTAACATGATGAAATTTTATCTCTACTAAAAATACAAAAAATTAGCCAGGTGTGATGGCAAGTACCTGTAGTCCCAGCTACTCAGGAGGTTGAGGCAGGAGAACGGCGTGAACCCAGGAGGCAGAGCTTGCAGTGAGCCGAGATCACGCCACTGCACCCCAGCCTGGGTGACAGAACGAGACTTTGTCTCAAAAAAAAAAAAAAATTAGCTAGATGTAGGCTGGGCGTGATGACTCACGCCTGTAATCCCGGCATTTTGGGAGGCTGAGGCAGGCAGATCACGAGGTCAGGAGTTTCAGACCAGCCTGGCCAACATGGTGAAACCCCAACTCTACTAAAAATACAAAAAATTAGCAAGGTGTGGTGGCAGACACCTGTAATCCCAGCTACTTGGGAGGCTGAGGCAGGAGAATCGCTTGAACCCAGGAGGCGGAGGTTGCAGTGAGCCGAGATCACGCCACTGCACTCCAGCCTCGGCAACAAGAGTGAAACTCTCTCAAAAAAAAAAATTAGCCAGGTGTGGTGGCATGTGACTGCAGTCCTGGCTACTCTGAGGTGGGAGGATTGCATAAGCCTAGGAGTTTGAGGTTGTGGTGAGCTGTGATCTCACCACTGTACTCCAGCATGGGCAGCAGAGCAAGACTATCTCAAAACAAAGAAAGAAACAAAAAACAAAAAAGGAAAAATGGGCAAATAATACAAACAAGTCTATAATAGAAGAAAAAATACAAATGGCCAATATGCATAGGAAAGGTGCTCAGTATTACTAACAATTTCAAGAACCATAATTAAAACAATTAGCTAACTTTTGTTGCCTATCAGGTTGGCAAAGTATAAGGAGATTCAGAAAACCAAGTGCTAATGAGTTTATGAATAAATTGGCATTCTCATTTGCTGTTAGCTACGGCATGACTTGATAACTCATTTTTGGAAAGCATTTTGGCAATTTTTATCAAAATGTTATTGGATTTTATCAAAACATAATATTTGCTGGGTGCAATGGCTCACGCCTGTAATCCCAGCAATTTGGGAGGCCGAGGTGGGCAGATCACCTAAGGTCAGGAGTTCGAGATCAGCCTGGCCAACATGGTGAAACCCTGTCTCTATTAAAAATACAAAAATTAGCTGGGCATGGTGTTGGGCGCCTGTAATCCCAGCTACTCAGGAGGCTGAGGCAGGGAGAATCGCTTGAACCTGGGAGGCAGACATTGCAGTGAGCTGAGATTGCGCCACTGTACTCCAGCCTGGGTGACAGAGTAAGACTCCGTCTCAAAAAAAAAAAAAAAAAAAAAAGTTGTGTGTTTATGCATACGTGTGTGTGTGTGTGTGTGTGCGCATGCATGTAAAAACAGAAAAATGAGTGTAAATAGGAAACAGTGTTTATCTCTGAGGAGGTACATGGAATTTTGTGGGGAGTCTTTAAATCTTTATGGTGACAACATACTGATTATTTATGTCAGTTTTTTTTTTTGAGATAGAGTCCAGCTCTGTTGCCCAGGTTGGAGTGCAGTGGCATGATCTCGGCTCACTGCAACCTCCGCCTCTCTGATTCAAGCTATGCTCCTGCTCAGCCTCCCAAGTAGCTGGGATTGCAGGCGTGTGCCACCATACCTGACTAATTTTTTGTATTTTTAGTAGAGACGGGGTTTCACCATGTTAGCCAGGATGGTCTTGATCTCCTGACCTCGTGACCCGCCCACCTCGGCCTCTCAAAGTGCTGGGATTACAGGCGTGAGCCACCTCGCCCAGCCTATTTGTGTAATTTTTTTTTTTTCTGAGACGGGATCTTGCTCTCTTGCCCAAGCTGGAGTGCACTGGCTCACTGCAGCCTCAACCTGCCAGGCTCAAACTATCCTCCTGCCTCAGCCTCCTGAGTATATGGAACCACAAGCTTGTGCCACCATGCCTGGCTAATTATTTTATTTTTCATAAAGATGAGGTCTCACTATGGAGCCCAGGATGGTCTGAAACTCCTGGGCTCAAGTGATCCTCCAGCCTTGGCCTCCCAAAGTGCTGGGATTACAGGTGTGAGCCACTATGTTCGGCTATTTGAATAGTTTTTTAAAAAGAAAATACCATTGTTGTTTTTTTCCCAAGATGGAGTCTAGGTTTGTCACCAAGGCTGGAGTGCAGCGGCATGATCTCAGCTCATTGCAACCTCTATGTTTCTCCTGCCTCAGCCTCCTGAGTAGCTGGGATTACAGGTGCCTGCCACCACACCCAGCTAATTTTTGTATTTTTAGTAGAGATGATGTTTCACCATCTTGGCCAGGCTGGTCTTGAAGTCCTGACCTCATGATCCACCCACCTTGGCCTCCCAAAGTGCTGGGATTACAGGCGTGAGCCACCACGTCCGGCATGAACATTTTACTATTAATAGTTATTTTCAGGCCAGACGCGGTGGCTCACGCCTGTAATCCCAGCACTTTGGGAGGCCGAGGCGGGTGGATCATGAGGTCAGGACTTCAAGATCAGCCTGGCCAAGATGGTGAAATGGCATCTCTACTAAAAATACAAAAGAATTAGCCGGGCATGGCGGCTGGCGCCTGTAGTCCCGGTTACTCGGGAGGCTGAGGCAGGAGAATGGTGTGAACCCGGGAGGCAGAGCTTGTAGTGAGCCGAGATCGTGCCACTGCACTCCAGCCTGGGCAACAGAGCGAGACTCTGCCTTAAAAAAAAAAAAAAAAAAAAAAAAATATATATATATATATATATATATATATATATATATATATATATTTATTTATTTATTTATTTTTGGCTGGGTGTGGTGGCTCACACTTGTAATCCCAGGACTTTGGGAGGCCAAAGCAGGAGGATCACCTGAGGTCAAAGTTCGAGATCAGCCTGACCAACATGGTGAAACCTCATCTCTACTGAAAATACAAAAAATTAGCCAGGTATGGTGGCGCATGCCTTTAGTCCCAGCTACTGGGGAGGCTGAGGCACAAGAATCGCTTGAACCAGGAGGTAGAGGTTGCAGTGAGCCAAGATTGTGTTATTGCACTCCAGCCTGGGCAACAAGAGTGGAACTCTGTCTCAAAAAAATAAATAAAATAAAATAAAAATGTTCATATTCTCCAAGTCAGCAATTCTACTTCTAGAAATCTCTCCTAGAGAAATGTTCATATCTGTGCGCAGAGATAGATGTATGAGTGTTCACTGCACCATGGTTTGTAAGATTAAAAAACTGAATGCTACCAATAGGGAACTGTTTATAAATGATTACACATTCACACAATGGAACACTATTCAGTCCTAAAATGGATGAAGCAAACCTGACTGTATAGAAATATAATGATAACTAATATGAACTGTTAAGTTAGAAAAAGAAGAAAAACATCTATAAAATGATCTCATTGTTTAAATATATGTTAGTTTGTGTCTAGGAAGTAAAACATGGAGGAACAGCCCCCAAAACTGTAGGGCATAGATTATAGGGAGCTTTCACTTTCTTGGCACATATATATGAAATGTTTGAGCTATTTTTTTTTTACCACCAGCGTGTATTATAATTGTAGTCAGGGGAGAAAAAAGGTTTTAAAAATGTCTCCATAGGCCAGGCGCAGTGGCTCACACCTGTAATCCCAGCACTTTGGGAGGCTGTGGGAGGCTGAGGCAGGCAGTTCACTTGAGGTTAGGAGTTCGAGACCAGCATGGGCAACACAGTAAAACCTGTCTCTACTAAAAATACAAAAATTAGCAGGCGTGTTGGCACAGGCTTGTAATCCCAGCTACCTGGGAGGCTGAGACATGAGAATCGCTTGAACCAGGGAGGCCAAGGTTGCAATGAGCCAAGATTGTGCCACTGCACTCCAGCCTGGGCAACAGAGGTAGACTCTGTCTAAAAACAAACAAACAAACAAACAAACAAACAAACAAACAAAGAAACGAGGATTTTCAGATGGGAGATCATACTGGATTGTCCGGGTGGTACCAGCATAATCACAGGGGTCCTTATAAGTGAAAGAGGAAGGCAGGAGAAAAGAGTTGTAAAAGGAGATGTGACCATGGAAGCAGGGGTTGGAGTGATAAGACCACTCACTGGTTGGAAGGGGGACCTTGAGCCGAGGAATGCAGATAGCTTGTTGAAACTAGAAAAAGCAAAGGATTCTTCCCTAGAGCCTCTAGAAAAGAACTCAGCTCTGCTAACACCTTGATTTTAGCCTAGTGAGACCCATTTTGGACTTCTGTCATCCAGAACTGTAAGATAATAAATTTGTGTTGCTTTAAGCTGCTGTTTGTGGTAATTGGTGACAGCAGCAATGGGACACTAATGCAGACTCCTTTAATAACTCCTCTTCCTCTGCTCAACTGTTAAATAGGGTGTTTACCAGGATCTTGCTGTCCTTGTTCACCTTCTCTTACCTATTTGCCTGGGTAATCGCAGCTACTCTCAGAATGTCAATTACCACCTAGGCGCAGAGGACTCTTAAACACGTATCTCCTAAAATATTTGACTTCTCTCCTAAATTCCTGATACGTATTTCTAACCACCCACCATAACATCTCCACCTGCCCCAAACTGAATTTTTCTTCCTTAAACTGATCTTCCTCCTGTATTTCCTATCTTAATAAATCCACCCCGAGGCTGGGTGCGGTGGCTTATGCATATAATCCCAGCACTTTGGGAGTCAGAGGCAGGTGGATCACCTGAGGTCAGAAGTTCGAGACCAGCCTGGCCAGCATGGTGAAATCTCATCTCCACTTAAAATACAAAAATTAGCTGGATGTGGTGGTGGACGCCTGTAATCCCAGCTACTCAGGAGGCTGAGGCAGGAGAATCGTCGGAACCTGGGAGGTGGAGGTTGCAGTGAGCTGAGATTGTGCCACTGCACTCCAGTCTAGGCAAGAGAGCAAGACTCTGTCTCAAAATAAATAAACAAATAAATGAATAAATGAATAAATAAATGCCACCCCCATCTGCTGTGTCCACAAACCTAGGAAATGTCCTAGACTTGTCTCTACCTCCTCCTCCACAACCTGTCAGTTATCTAGAGCTGTGGCTTCTACCTCATTAACTCCACTGCTGCTGCCTTGGCTTCTGTGTTCATCATCTCTTGTCTGGACTACTGCAAAACAGGTAATTTCCTACAATCCATCTTCCACAGAGTCTCCTTCCTACAATTCATCTTCCACAGAGCTCCCATAGTGATACTGTTTTCAATCCCCTCTCTTCAAACCTCATGATTTTTTCAGTGTCAACATGTTTTCCTTCTTATTTTTAAATTTAAAGTCTCACACTGTTGCCCAGGCTGGAGTGCAGTGGTGCAATCATGGCTCACTACAACCTTGATCTTTTCAGCTGAAGCAATCCTCCCACCTCAACCTCAGCTGGGACTATAGGCATGCACCACCATGCCTGGCTATTTATTTGTGTGTTTGCTTATTTTTAGAGATGGGTTCTTACTGTGTCACTCAGGATTGAGTGCAGTGGCCCAATCATAGCTCATTGCAACCTGAAACTCCTGTGCTCAAGGAATCCTCCAGTCTCTACCTCCTGAGTTGTTGGGACTACAGGCATGTGCCACCATGCCCAGTTAATTTTTTAAAAAATATTTTGTAGAGACTTGGTCTCACTTTGTTGTCCAGGCTGGTCTCCAGCTCCTGGCTTAAAGTGATCCTCTGATCTCAGCCTCCTAAAGTGTTGGGATTACAGGAAGGAACCACTGTGCCCAGCCCAACATACATTTTCATTAGTGCTATATTTATGTCCTTATTGTCCTGATTCAGGTTGAGTTACCAGAAAACTGCAATGTTTTCTGCTAACTTGTTTGCTTGGTTATGCTAACTTGATTCTTGTTTGCAGAATACAGGGAAGACATAAAACATGTAATTTCAAAATGTCTAATATTATAAATGAAAAAGTCAGATGTTGAGGATCTGAAAATTGGTCAAAGAATTGGTTATATGTCTACATATAAAACTTAAATTATAATAAGCGCTCAGAGATCTTTCTTCCTAATTTTTCTTTTAGTTACATCTTTTACTTGACATCGAGTTCCCTCTGACTGCTGCTTGTTTGATTGGGTTAAAAAAAAAAAGAAAAGAAAAAAAAGAGTTCGCCCATAGTGCAAGGATTGCACACTCAAATACCTGAGTGACATGAATGGTAAAGTGGGTTGGGCGTGGTGGCTCATGCCTGTAATGCCAACACTTTGGGAGGCCTAGGTGGGCGGATCACTTGAGGTCAGGAGTTTGAGACCAGCCTGGCCAACATGGTGAAACCTCGTCTCTACTAAAAAATACAAAAATTAGCTGGGCATGATGGTGCACACCTGTAATCCCAGCTACTCGGGAGGCTGAGACAGGAGAATCACTTGAACCTGGGAGGCAGAGGTTGCATGCAGTGAGCTGAGGTGGCACCACTGCACTCCAGCCTGGGCAACAGAGCGAGACTCCATCTTAAGGAAAAAAAAAAAAAAAAAAAAAGAAAGGTAAAGTGAATAAGGGACTAGCAGGGAGCCAACGGGATTGTGACAAACTGAAGAATACATGTCCCACTTAGAAATAATCAAGTACAAAGAAATTGAAAACACTGCAAGGCAACCAATACAAAACAACACAAAATAATTACTGTGGGCTGTCAGCTTGCAATCTCTGGCAGGATAAAATTTAAAACTCCCCGGCACAGTATTCATAACCCTCCATAATCTGGACTCTGCTCAACTAGTCTTCCCTCTCCACGTTTTCCACCTTGCACCCTATGTCCCAATCATGATGAATGACTTACAGTTCCCCCAATGCACCACCATGTTGTTTGGTGGCTCCTCTGGCCTTACACTACTTCCTCCATCTAGAATGCCTTCCGCTGCCCTTAGCAGATCTCTATTCCATAAGATCTCCAGCAAGATCTTAGAGCTGGACTCTGAACCCAATAACCTCAACTCCAAGATTCCTCAAACACAATCTGCCCTACACTGACCTCTTTATCTACCAATGCTATCCCTCAAACTCTTTCTGTTTGAAAGGCACAAGAGATTAGAAAGGGGAGAGCAGTTAGGAGACTATTGCAATACTCGGAAAAAAGTCATAGTGAATTAATTAATGACTACCTGATTAATTGTTTGAATGAGTGAATGAGACATGACCAAGCTCCCTGCTAGCTCCATCAGTCAGCATCTGGCTTAGCTGATACAACCTTCCTTATTCTCACATTGTTCCCCACCCCCATATTCCTTGATTCTCTGAGCCATAAGAGTTGGTTGGGAGAAACATAAAAATATTTACAGGAAAGGGGACTATCACCCTTGACCCTTCTAGGTTCAGATTGTGGTCCCTGCTTCTTCCAAAGCTGTCTTCTTTTTGGACATTCCACTTTTGTAACCACCTGTCTGTGCCCCTCTTCTTCCCCAATCCTCTTTCTATACCAGATGCCTAGTTTCTTCTCCAAGTGCCTTTCCCATCCTACACAACTCCCCACATCCTACAGCAAAACAATTTCTAACCACTTACCTCCTCCCCATCTTAGGCATCGAGCCAGATCATTTCCAGTACCCAGGGGCAACACAGCAACAGGAGGCAAAACCGGCAAGTTAGCTTTGTCTGCGGAGGCAGGTGAAGAGAAGGATGGAGTGAGTTAGCTCTGCAAGACTACGACTCCAGTCTCTTCCTAGAGCCCCTCCCTGCACTGACCAATGGTCTCTAGAATCCAGCCTACTGTGCCATCTCCACCACACACCAAAATCCGGCCATCAGGAACATCCTTGAACAATCGGAGCCTGAGACAAAGGGCAGAGAGAAGATGAAGGATAACAGGACTGAGGTTACCCAACTCCTGGGCAGGCACATTGCTTCTTGTCTCTCATTCCTTAGGACCCTCCTCCTTTTTGTCAAAAGACTTGAGTTTCTATGAAGGTCAGAGAAAAGAACAATGGGGAAAGTTATAGCCACTCCTCAGTGGTTAGGGAAAAATTGGTATCTTCATTCTTGGAGAGCAGTACAGAGATGGGCCAGAGAGCTCGGAGGATGGGATACCCAGTGATCCTAGGGAAGGAAACATTCCGAATTCTGGCCTCTTGGGGATCTCTAGCCCTCCTCTCCCAACTGCGCTCTTTCCTGCACTCTCCTAACATATACAGATACACAGACCAACGAAAACACTGTGATACAGCCCCTAACCTGTGCTCACCCTATCTCAGGACCATCCTTCAGGAGGTTGAACACCTGTCGAGGGTTTAATATATACTGGAACTTCCAGAGCACCCTGTGTGTGGGAAAAAGAAAAGCTCATGGCAGGCGCGGGGGTAGGGGGTGATCTTCTGAACCTCACCCTCTTGATGTGTTCCTCAAGGTATGCCCCTCCAGACACACACATCCCCTTCCACCTTCCAAGTGCTGCAGGCAGGCCCTCCCTCTCATCTTAGAAGGCCCAATATATCTCTCCTCACCTCTGCCCCTGCTTCCCGCCACTCTTAGGATTGACAAAGACAAGAAGTGGGTGAGTGTTAGGAACAGGGTCAATCTGCATTGGGGGAAGAAAGTAAGGATAAAGAAAGCAGGATTTTGTCAGAGTTAAGGTGGGCCCTGGAGACAGGGGCAGAGGGCTGGCATTCCACCAAGATATTTTCCTCCTCCCTCCTGTTTCCCTCTCCTTCCCTCCCCCACCATGGTGGAGTTTCTGGAGAGTGAGCATCAACCGCCCCCCACCAGGCACTCCCACTTCATTCCCACCCATGAGGGATCCAGTGAAAAATCGGCCCCCATCATGAAGCCCCAGACTCTTAGCCCTGTACCCGCAGAGCCTCAGAGGTGCTCAAATTTAAATCATCCATGGTCTTCTGGCTTGTTTTGCTATTTTTACGATCCGGTCCAGAGGCCTGGGAGGGGAAGAAAGCAGAGGGAAGGAAAGCTGTATTGTGCACGAATCCCTAAACAGAGGGGTCTGACTTGAATCCTAAAAGTATGAGCTCTCTATTCTAAATGCCACTCAGTGAGTGTGGGAAATCGGGGAGGCACTCCTGTCCCTTCCCCACTGCAGCGGAGGGTCTCACCAGGACACTAGGATAGATGGAAGATGGAGGCAGGATGTGATCTCGGAGCAGCCCACAGTCACACTCATGGCCCACCGCTTGCAGGCAGTCATCGTGGATCTGAAAGACGAGGTGGGCACAGAGAGATCACGAAGGGAACCCTGTCTCCTCTCAACCTGGCAGTCTGGGCTGGAAAGAGCCCCTGGGGCAACTGTGGCTGTAAGGGAGGTGTGGCTGGGAGGCCCGTGGAGGGGGCAGCTCTGCGGGGCCCTAAGACGCAGCCAGGAGGGATGGCTCCCAAACTGACCTCTAGGTGGCACCATACACAATGCAGCCCGGTTAGACTGTGGTAGATCCGGATCTTTTTCTGACAGCGGTCGCAGCGCCCGGACTCACAGCCTCCTCGCACCCACACATGTGATTGGACCTTGGGGAGAAAGGCAGTCCCTTGTCTGGGAGGGTCTGAGCAGGACCTAGGGGAGGGAGGAGCTGAGGGCAGCAATGGGCCGAGGGCCAGGGCCAGGATGGAGGTGATGTTGGGAGCAGGGGCTTGAGGTCACTCACACCAATGTCCTTCCGAGACTTGGCATAGGTGCTGACTTCACAAGGCAGGGCTTTCATGGCACACTGGTCGTGAACAGTGTACTTACAGACTGAGGGAGAAGGAAGAAGTTGGGAGGCTTAGCTGAGCCCCTCCCCCTATTTCCTTCTTACCTGGGGGTGAGGCAGGATCAGATATGTGATCCCTTGCTTCAGGGTGTACCAGAATAAAAGTTTGGGGTGAAGTGCCCGCTTCCAAAAGCCATGCCTTTTCCTTACTCTTCCTCCTAAAAGATCAGCTGCTACCCCATACCTGCCCCACACCATCCATATGCCAGGCAGGAACTGAGCTGGATGATGCTTGGGAGGCTCAGGTCTAACAGCAATAGTAATCATACTAGATATTTTTTTTATTGTATGTTATAGTATGTGCATGCACCATCTGAAGCACTTTTCTTGCACCAACTTTTTTAATGCTCACAATTACCTCATTTTCAGTTGAGGAAACTAAGGCTTAAAGAAGTGATGTGGCTTTCCCAAGGTCACATAACTAGTCAGTGGCAGAGCCCAGGATTCAAACCTAGGTCTTTCTAAGTTCAGACAGCCAAGCTTCCACAGATAGCTGCGCTGACCCTCTTCCCCTACCTCCCAGGTCCCATTACTCACGGTTACAGCTCAGCCCCTGTTTGCCAAGACCAATGCTTGACTCGCACAGATTGCAGTAAACTGGCCTGGGGAACCTCTTAGGCCTCCACATGTGCTGTCCATCGTCCTTCAGAGTCTAGGAAGGCACAGTAGATGCTAGGGAGTGTCAAAGCCCTTACAGGACCAATCCTGGCAAGCATAACCCAAGGCTGTCTTACTCATCCTCCAAAGTCTCTCCACTCACCATCTCCAGACCCAGCAGCACTAGCAGTGGCACAGTGGTGGCCCCAGCCCGGACCCACTCAGCTTGAGAGACAGAGCCACTACCATCATAGTCAATCTCTTTCATCATCTCCTGAAGGATCTGAGCACAGAGTGGAAAGGGACTTTCAGTGTGAGTGGGTCTTCAGACCCAACACCTCTCCACTGCCTCTTAGGATACCCAGCCCAGTCATCTTAGCCAAGGGAACCAGGTTGCCTGTCAGAGATGAGGTAAGGCAGATGCAGGACTCATTAGGGAAGAAGATACAAGAAGGGACAAGAAGGAAGAGCTGCCTTACCGGCCTCAGCTCAGACACATCCCAATCCAGGTATTCAGCCACTCGCATCATCTGTAGGATAATTTTGTCCACTTCCTGGAGCAAAAAAGGCAAGAGCCACAGTCATATCCCCCTTACTATCACCATCCAAATTCTTTTCCAGAAATCAGTGTTCCAGGGTTCCACACCAGATTCACACCTCTCATTCTCAGGTACGTCTGCCAAGTAAATAAATGTGTTTGTATGCTTGTAAGGCAGACCCAATTCATGTCTCCAGCATTCTCTTTGAGGGGTCAAGAGCTTGGGACTTACTTTCAAATTTAGTCCTACAGGACTCAACCTCTCCCCCCATCCTCTTCTGTTTCTTAAGACCCTGGAAAAGTAGGGGCAGGAGGGTGCAGACAAATGAACACATATTCCCTTGCCCAGCATACAGGGTCCCCAACTCACTGAGCTGTCCAGGATCCCATTTCTGTCCGTGTCGTACAGCTTGAAGGTGACTGTGGGGTGTTTTAGGGGGGCCAGGGTCAGTTTGTGGGAGATACTCAAAGAATTCATACCAGAATATGGGGGAAACAAAGAGACAGGGAGAGAGCTTTTGGGTGAGAAGCCTAGAGCCTGGGATGGGACTGAGAAAGAGACAAAAAGGAAGGGAAAACAAGCATGGAATCCCCCTCAGTGAATGTGTCAGGGGAGACAATACACAATCCATATCCCAAGGACATCCTAGGCTGCCTACATGGGAATGTACAAGACATGGGTACTGGGGTGACTATGGTGAAGGGTATTAGGTATAAATAGTCTGGAAGAACAGAGGAAATGGGCTCATTCTCTGGCCCCACCTTTGTCTAGACCTGTCAGCCTTTAGGAATCCTGAAGGAATAAGGGAAAGGAGGCTGGGAAACACCTCTCTCTCCCTTCACTGCCCCACCACCTCACTCCAGAAGGGCAACTCACATTCTAACTTGTCTTCTGGCCGACCACCCTCCAGAAGGGAAAAGTAGCAGGAAACATCATTGAGACACACCACATCTGGTTACAAAAAAGCAGATCAGAAGTCAGGGCTCCCTTCACTTTGGCTCATGTTTTATCCTTTGTCTGTTCCACCTCTTCCTTTTTAAAAAAAAAAAAAAAAATTTACTAATTTTTTTTTTTTTTTTTTTTTTTTTTTTTTTTTTTTTTTTTTGAGACGGAGTCTCACGCTGTTGCCCAGGCTGGAGTGCAGTGGCGCGATCTCGGCTCACTGCAAGCTCCGCCTCCCGGGTTCCCGCCATTCTCCTGCCTCAGCCTCCTGAGTAGCTGGGACTACAGGCGCCCGCCACCGCGCCCGGCCAATTTTTTTTTGTATTTTTAGTAGAGACGGGGTTTCACTGTGGTCTCGATCTCCTGACCTTGTGATCCGCCCGCCTCGGCCTCCCAAAGTGCTGGGATTACAGGCTTGAGCCACCGCGCCCGGCCTAAAAAATTTACTAATTTTTTTAAGAGACAGGGTCTCGCTCTGTCACTGAGGCTGGAGTGCAGTGGCATGATTACTGCTCACTGCACTTTGAACTCCTGGCCTCAAGCAATCCTCCCACCTCAGCCTCCCAAAGTGCTGGGACTACAGGTGTGAGCCACTGCCCTCAGCTTACCTCTCCCCTTTACCTTTCCTCCCCTTAGCTCCTAGACCAGCCTGACTATTCTCCACCAATTTCCCCCAACCTGCACAACATGTGACTCAAGTCAATTCTCATCCCCAAATCCGTAAGTTTGATTTTTCTTCCAGAGGCTCAGCCCAGTCCTACCTGCTTGACCATACCTTTTGTCACATTTGCCTCATTTAAGCAGTGATCAGTCTTAAAGGATTGAAACAGTGCCAGGCTTAGGTGTCTGGGAACATTATCCACTTCCAGATAGATTTTCAGGAATTGCTGGAATCCCTCGTACCCAATGGCCTATAATGAGAGTGAGCATTATCCCAGGGAGTCTGCAAGGTCGGAGCTGGGGCTGAAGAATTGGGAGTAGTGGGGACAGGGATAATAAGTGCAGAGCTGAGAAGCATCTGAGGCAGGAGTATGGTTTCTTTGATTAAGTCCTGAGTTAATAGAATCTCCTGTTTTGTCCTAAAGCAATAGTCGGAGTGACAATGGACACTAGGGTATCTCTAGAGGGGACAGCGAGGGACAGGTCCAGAATAATTCCTGGAAATTGGGGATCAAAAACAAAGATGGGAAGAGTTGATCAAGGAGAGAATTTCCCCGCTGCCACTCACATCTCCTTGGACATATTTAGCCATCTCACCATCCTCGAAGAGCTTTAGGACATCACTGACCTTTTTGGTGGAGTCTAGGGTGTGGAGAGAGTAAGAGAACAGCATTATTAGTCCAGCTGAGTTCTCCTGCCAGAGAAATCCAGCAGGAAAAAAGAGTCAAATAACATGAAGAAATTCCAAGAAGAAACAAAGAAATACAGAGGAAAAAATATTTCAGATCCCCAAAACAGTACCACTCTTTACTCCTCTTCTCTGAGAGCTGGAGCAAGCAGTCCAGGTACAGCGAAGGTGGGTAGAGAGCCGAGACCTTGCGCATCTCCCCATCTCCCGCTCCTCCCGTTCCCAGTCATGGGCACATCTAAGCAGCACACTGCTCAAAGCCACTGAGGAAGCTGGAGGGCAGGAGGTGTAATGAGGGGGAGGAGGGATTCTCTGGGGCAGGGTCTCTAGAACTGAAGGCCTGACAGGAAGACTCACATTCCATGTATTTTTGCAGCTGGGCAAAATCACTGGGGCTTATTAGGCCCCTCTCCTTGGCCATCTGTCTGTTTTTCTCAAGGATGGCCACAAAGGCAGCTTCGTAGTAGTACTTCCGTTGCTTGGACCTCTTCAGAGGGTAGGCCTGGGGAAAGGTGACAGACTGTACAGTGGGAAAAGCCAGCTGTCTGGGTGTCTTTTCTTCTGTCTGTTTCATTCTGTCTCTACTCCCACTATTATTTTTGTTCTTTCCTTCTCTCCTAGTCCCTCCCTAAATATCTTCCTTTCCCTGTGTCCCTCTTCCCTGTGCCTCTTCTGTCTCTGTTTCTCTGACTCATCTTGTCTCTCCATTTCTGGATCCTTCTCCTTCTCCCCCAACCTATCTTGATTCATCTGACTACCCTCACCTTCCCAACCGCACCCGGCTTTCTCAGTCTATATATGTTTCTGTGGGTGTGTCCCTTGTCTGTTTCGGCGTTTCCTCCCGCCATCGTCAATCTCTGCAGACTCTCCCCAGCCTGCGCTCTCTCCCGTCTCGGGTCCTCGGCAGTTCCCGCCCTCTGGGTGACTCTTACTGCGTTAGCGCGTCTTCCTGGCCATGACCCCATTTTGTTCCGCCTCTGGCCCGGGACCCCAGCTCCGCTCAGCCACCCACTCCCCGAGCCACCCACGCCCCGCAACGACCTCTAGCGCTTCTGACGCGCGACATAGAACCAGCTCTGGCAAGGTCCCTAGACCCGGCCCCGCCTGGACTGCGTTCCGCGGAGCTCCACTAGGGAAGGATGGGGACCTAGGCGCGGGGTAGGGAAGAGGCAGGGGAAGAGACTCTGGGTATCCACAGAGTCTCTTCCTCAGAAGAGGGTTCTGGGATACTGACATCCTAGAGAAAGGACTCACCCATCTGGCAGTTTTCAATGACTATAGTCCAACTTCTGCTGCCAACAGATCTAGTGTTTCCCAGTCCCGGGACAGTGGAGCCGAGTGCTAGTGTCTCGACTACTGGGAACTTCCTTCCACTCCACTAGGTCAGCAGTGCTTAGGGAGCCCTAAGTTTTGGCTACTGGACCCAGGAACCAAGGTGCAGTGAGTGACTTGCCTTGATTCAATAATGATAATAATATATCTTACGTGAATATAACACAGCACGGTTTTGGAACAGAACTAGGATTGGTCATATTTGGGTCCCATTCTTAGCTCTGATACCACTATGTGACTTGGAGAAGTTATATCTGTAAAATGGGGAGAATGAGAACCCATTTTTCACAGTTGTGTGGCTTAAGTAAAGCAATATATGAAAAGTGGCTTGTATAATGCCTGACATTTAGAAGGCCTACAAGAAATGCTAGTTATTATTGTATTAACAATTAGAATCAAATCCTGAGACATAGGAAACTGTTGGCATAACCATTCTACAGATGAGGAAACTGGAGCTCAGAGAAGCTTGGATTTCCTAAGGCAGTTGATAGATGGAAAATCCAAGGCTGCAGCCCAAGGCCATGTGGTAGTGCCTCTGCTTGTTACTCTGCCCTCCACTTGTTCCACTATCTCCTCACAGCGGGCCCTCTGGTTTAACTGCACTCCTTTCTGTTCGTCAGGCATGCCAAGCTCTCCCCCGCTCAGAGTGATGAGACTTACTGTTCTGTCTGCGGGACACCCTTCCCAGTTTGTAGTGGGTGCTCAATAGTGGTTGTACAAGTGATTGTGTAAAGCTGGGGATTCATAATTTGGGGCTATTAATCCAAATATGGTTACATGGGAATGGGATGCCAGAGTGTCCACCTGACAGTCAGAGGAAAGGAGATAATTTGTGGTACATAGAATAGGTGCTAAATAAATATTTGTTAAATGAATGAATGAATGATCCTGAAAAGCACTCATTGACTACCCCATCAAACACCCTGATCTCCACCCACTAATTTAGGGCTTGTTGGGTTAGGGAAGCAGTTTGGGTGTTCAAGAACAGCCCAGCCCCTTTCCTTTCTGATGATGCAAGAACCTTCTCTGCAGCCTCTACCCTTGGGACATCTCTGCTGCCTACTTTTATGCAGCACACCATTCCTGTTCCAGCAGCTCTCTGGGAACACTCAGAAGAAGGTTCTGGGATACTGACATCCTAGAGAAAGGACTCTACCCATCTGGCACTTTTCAATGACTGTAGTCCAACTTCTGCTGCCAACAGATCTAATGAATACTAATAGTCTTATGCCTAATGGGGCCTCTATAGCTTAATTGGCCTCTCTGATTACCTCTGGGAATTCTAAGATGACTCCAAAGTTCTAGGAAATGGAATCTGAGGGAGAAAGTGACAGGGAGGGAGCAAACAAGTTACAGTGCATAGGAGAGAGGACAGGCTTCTTCTCTGCCTCTCTTTTTACAATGATCTAACTCTTTCTTGCTCCCTTCTAGCTCCACAGGTCTTAAACCTGGAGAAGTAGTATAGAGTAGAAGTTAAGAGAATGGACTTGCAAATTGGACAGGCAAGGATCAGAATCCTAGCTCTTTGAGAGGTCATTTCATCTCCCTGAGCCTCAGTTTTCTCATTAGTAAAGTGGGCACCTACAGAAATCAGTTGAAATGTGGGCATTAAATAAGATGATATATGCAATGTACTTAGCAAACAGCATGGCACAGAATAGGAACTCAATGATCATCAGCTATTATCATTCTTACACAAGGGTAGTACCTAGAGAAACATTTCTGGAGATTAGGAAAACCGATGTCTTTGAACCAGGAAGGCATAAATTTCAGGGACTTCCAGCATCAGTGAAGCCCAGTTGTACATCTTACCCCTTGTTATTAATATATCTGTCAGGTGCAAACATGTAGTATCAGGACCGTGAACTTTGCCTCTGGGAGGATGATGAGGTAGCTAGAACTAGACTCTCAGCGTTCAAGGACACCCCTGGGCTGGAATCTTCGACATGAGTGCTCCTGGGATCTTGTCAGTGGTTCTCTTGACCTCTCTTACTGAAAATTTAGCTATCCCTGGAGCTGAAGGGCAGCAAACTATGGGATCCTGGGAACTTAAAGACCTGGAACAAGTCCACTTTTTTCCTCCAGGTCCCTCCCAACCCTGAGGCTATAACCTGGGCTAGTCTAGGCAAATGCCAGGGCTGGGAGGGTGGGGTCTGCTGCCAGCCTGCCAGCTATTTGTGACTCACCCTTCCCTTCCCTCCTCTGGTTTCCCTGCCCGCCCCTACCCACTTGGGGTGAGAAAGAAAGAAGTTGACTTGGAGGCAGAGAATCTTAGAACATCCACAGAGCTTAGAGTCACCAACTCTTGTATTTTACAGAGGAGGAAATTAAGGCATAGAGAGAGAATTACTCTCTTAAGGGCACAGACTCTAGACACCTATCCTTAGTAGATTCCACTAAATCTTAGAGCTCATGGGTCTCTGGATCTAATTTTAAACATCAAATACTAAAATTTTAACCAAGAGATAAATATTATTTCCAAAGCCTGTGTTAATATTTAAAGTTTCCTTTTTTCACTTAAGCATTCATTGCTCACATTCCAAGTCTTTTAAGTCGACCATTACTCAGGAAATAGCTATGTCCCCAGAATATTGAGGCTGCCCCAGGGGGCAGGAGCTCCGAATTTGAGGGCCCAAGATTGATTACCTGGACTTCTGAATTCCTTAATCATATCATAGACTGTATCCTCCTCCTCTCCTGGACCGCTGCTGCTAGTAGGTAGCCCCCAAGAGGGAATGATTTGCTTGAAGCCTCAAAACTTATTAAGCCTCCACAAACACTGAAGACTGCAGTGCTGCCTGGCTGAGGGGGTTGTGTGTGTGTGTGCATGTGTGTGTGTGTAGAGGGTGTCATTGCGTAGTACAGGAGGAAGTTACGATACTGGCATGGTTGGGGGATGTGGGCTTGTCTGTGCTGAGGCTGAAGAGATGCCCAATAATATATTTGCCTTTCTTCCTCAGGAAGGCTTATTTCTCCTATCTAAAGGTGAAAAGTGAGATTCAGACTCAGGTATTTTCAGAAACTTCCCAGTGACAGGTGGGGAGAGGATGGGGGTGGGAAGTTGGAGACCTGGAGGCCAAACAAGAACCCTTCTCCACCCGTGCGGCAGTGTGGAGGTTCCGAAAAGCACTTCCCTCAGAGTCGGGTCCCAGGAACCAGGCTTCACCATCCCTCCGAATGAGCTGGAGGGATGGAGGGAAGGCCTGGGAGACGTTACCCCCCGGGTTCTGGCCCAGCCCTCCCGCTGCACCCCCGCGTCCCAGCGCAGACCCTTCTCGATACCCGCTCCAGCTGTCACGCTTCCTCCTTCCCGACCCAGCACCACGAACGCAGCCCGTGGGTCCTGGCCCTCCCTACCCCTGTCCTGTTCCAATGGGGGAGGGCGGGGCGCTGGGGGGCTCGCGGGGTCTCTACCTTGCTTGGGAGGGCTCGCGGTCGTAGCTGAAGCGCCGGCGCTGGAGCTGGAGCCCGAGCTGGGCTGGAGGGGACGGGCCAGGCAGACGCGGCCGCAGCGGGGCCGCCCCGCTCCTGACGACACAGCTGCCCGCCCCCCACCCCAGCCTGCCCGCCGCGCCCGCACCCGGCGCCCCCAACTCTGGGAACTTCGAAGTTGGAGAGGCCCGTTTGTAGGTTTCCAGTTCACCATAACCTGCTCCTCCCTCCCTTGAATATGTCCTGGGCTTTGGACACATTTTCTCCATTTGCTGCGCTCCTCATCTTCTTCCCGCGCCGGCGGCAGCTCTGCTTCTATTTTCTCTTTCTAATCACTCACAGCCTCTCCCTTCACCCCAAACCTGGGAGGCCAAGATACCGGGCGGGCCGCTAGCAGAACAGCTCGGCAGCTGGGCACCCAACCAACTAGTCTCACTCTCTTCTGATTGCTGCCATCCTGAACTTCCCTGTCCAACTCCCTTCCATCCACCACTGACTTCACACTCAGGAGATCCCAAGGGGGCAAGGCCAGAGTCCCAGACCCCACAACCTGACCAAACACCTCTCTCCTGTCCCGGGCTCCACCCTGCTTGAGACAATCTGCCCACCTTCTCCACGTTCCTCTCCTCCCTTTTAGACTTACTTTCTCCAGTCTAAGAACACCTCCTGTCAAGACTCATGTCCTCTCCTTAATTCTAGGGTGGAGGTTTGCACTCTGGTCTGTATCCACCCTTTCTCCACACCCTCATCCTCCCACTTTACCTGCTGGCCTTGGCAGGTAGCACAGAAGGCCCTGGCCAAAAGTAGGGAGTCAAAGGTCCTTTCAGCTTCTCCTGCCTGGAGTCTCTTCTAGAGTCATTAAGGCTCTTGGGGTCGCATGGCTGGTGGTGAAGGTGGTACAGCAAGGGAGAGAGATGGAGGCCTAGGGACTTACTGGCAGGAACTGGAGACCCAGGCATCCTGCTTACTGGCCCCGCCCTAACCCCTGTCTAACTCCCTCCTACCTTTCATTGAAAATGGGGCAGAGTAACAAAGCCTTAAGTTCCTGGAATCTCCTTCTTACACCTGGGGGTGGGAAGAAGGGGGAGGGGAGACCTCTGACTAGAAGGGTATATGCATGTGTGGGTATTGTGGATGCATACATACACACACCTGATATAGACATATTTTTGGTGGGAGTTGGAGAGGAAAGGGAATTAATACATGAGGCCCTCTAGTGGAAACAGGGGTATCTAAGCAGTTCTTGATTGTTTCAAGACAGGCTTGTTGGAACAGACTCCTCCACATTTGCCAGAAATATAGCTGCTGAGTAATAGGGTTTGGGAGTATTGTTGTTGTATCTAAACTGGAGATTTCGGGCATAGGTTGAAGAGGGTCTCTTGCTCCTGTGCCCCTCCAGGTCTCACCCTCTCACCCCCAATCATAAAAAGACAAGGGCCAAAAGCCGGGCGCAGTGGCTCACACCTGTAATCCCAGCACTTTGGGAGGCTGAGGCAGGCGGATCATGAGGTCAGGAGATCGAGACAATCCTGGCTAACACGGTGAAAACCTGTCTCTGCTAAAAATACAAAAAATTAGCCAGGCGTGGTGGCACGTGCCTGTAGTCCCAGCTACTTGGGAGGCTGAGGCAGGAGAATCACTTCAACCCGGGAGGTGGAGGTTGCGGTGAGCTGAGATCATGCCACTGCACTCCAGTCTGGGCAACACGAGCGAAACTCTGTCTCAAAAAAAAAAAAAAAAAAAAAAAGAAGACAAGGCCCTTGACACTCCCCATCCTTTGTCTTTACAGTATTCTCTTCACTGTTAGCAAAGCTTCATCTCTCCTTCCTCTATGACCTCCTTAGTCATAGTAAACAAACTTTTCTGAAGGCCTTTTATACACCAAGTCCTGTACTTAGTTCTGCAATACAAGCAAAAATATAGTCCCGTTTAGGGACTATACCAATGAGTGGTGCAATGTGTGTAAAGCCTCTCCACTCTGAGCTACTTTAAACAAACATACAATATAAGAATAGGTCCCCTGACACCTCTGCCTATCAGTTTTCTGTCCCTGGATCTTTCATTTAGAAATCTTGGAACGATATTAATCTCTAAGGCACTCAGCTTGCCTTGCAAATAATGCGTAAAGTAATGCCACCCTACGTATTACCTGTGTTTCTCACTCTATCGTCTTTAGATATGTTCCTAAATAAAGTTGAAGACACTCCTTTTAAGATAGTTTTTGGTACTTCAAAGTGGGCTGTAATGCTGTCTCTCTCGAATAAGGAATAAGGTGGAATCAGTCTTACTCTAGACTTCTTTGTGTCTTCTTTAGGATCTATGCTCCATCATACCCCAAGTCAGTTACTGGGGGGTGTGGGTGGGGGAAGAAAAGCCAAGAAACATCTAAGGAGGCGTTTAATGCCTACAGTTCCAGGTGCTCATTTCTTTATCAACCACATCATAAAAATCAGAAAGAAAGAAACCGCAATGAACAAAGGGAAAGGAAAAAACAACAGCCTGTTCTCCCCGGCCTTTTTTGCCCCGTTCCTCCTCAGGGTGGGGGGCCACATCCGGGGCCCAGGGTTGGGTCCCAGGCAGGTCTACTAAGCAGACAATTGAGTTTCACTTCCCGTCAACCCCAGTGCTGAGGCAGGATGTCTGGGGGTGGGAAGGGGGCCTAGGGTTGGTAGTGAACAGGGGCCACTTTAGGTTTCCCTCCTGCAGAAGGGTTTATTGAGCAGCCTCTGGAAGCTGCAGAGACCACTCCTAAGGTAGTTCAGTCAAGACCAACGTATCCCATTAGTTTGTAGACGCTTCTTCCCACACTCTCTCGTCTAATGGTCTAATCGTAACAAGGTTAAGGACAAGATGTTAGACCCTGCAGGGTCTGAAGCACAATTGGTGAAAGGAGAGCAAGGGTTTAAGACCACAGTGTCAGAACACTTGCAATAACTGTGTATTGTATGCAAATACTTTTTATTTACTTATTTTGAGACTGAGTCTTGCTCTATCATACAGGCTGGAGTGCAGTGGCATGATCTTGGCTCACTGCAACCTCCGCCTCCCGGGTTCAAGTGATTCTCCTGCCTCAGCCTCCCAAGAAGCTGGGATTACAGGCACGCACCACTACACCCAGCTAATTTTTGTATTTTTAGTAGAGACGGGGTTTCACCATCTTGGCCATGGCTGGTCTCGAACTCCTGACCTCCAGTGATCCACCCACCTCGGCCTCCCAAAGTGCTGGGATTACAGGCATGAGCCACCGCGCCCCGCCTGGAAATACTTTTTAAATGAGCTCCCGCTCCCCACCCCTAGACATTCTGAATTGGCCTCTAGTGGAAGTCAAGGAGATGGAGGACGGGAAGGAAGGCAAGCTGCAGCCCCCAGAAAACTTCTGAGGCCTAATTTGTCTTATAAAGGTCCTAGACGGAGTCTCACTCTGTCCTCCAGGCTGGAGTGCAGTGGCGCGATCTCGGCTCACTGCAACCTCCGCCTCCTGGGTTCAAGAAATTCTCTGCCTCAGCCTCCCGAGCAGCTGAGATTACAGGCGCCCGCCACCATGCCCGGCTAATATTTTGTATTTTTAGTAGAGACGGGGGTTCACCGTCTTGGCCAGGTTGGTCTTGAACTCCTGACCTCGTGATCCACCCGCCTTGGCCTCCCAAAGTGCTGGGATTACAGGCCTGAGCCACCGTGCCCGGCTTTAGTTTTGTTTTTTAAATGGGACATGCTGCCTAGTGTAAGAGGTAATCACCAATATTTACCTCCTCCCTCCTTCCTGGTTCCAGGGGTACTGCTGGATATTAAACTAAGTCAAAGTGGGGACATATGGAGGAAGGTAAAAGGATTGATAAGGAAAAAGCTATATAAGGGTGGAGCAGGGCAGAGTTGACACCTGAGGAGAAGAACCTGCAGTCGGGCCCCTCCCAGGCTGTAGGGGAAACAAGTTTAACAGAACTTAGCCCTGAAGGAACAACAGTTGCTGAAATGGGCGGCGGAGGAAAGAGCATTTGGGTTCGTCTGAATAGGGAGGTACGGGGCAGGGGAGGACTACAAATGGAGTGACCCTGCGGGACCGGATTATTGACGAGCTGCCCCGCTTTAGATCCTCAGCGGTTGGACGAGTTTAATTAGAATACTAGGTAGGTCCGCCCAGAAGCCTTTACCCTGCCCTCTGACCCTAGGGCCCAATCCAAGGAGGCACTCAGGGTTAGGAGGTCTGGGAGAGAAGCAAGTAGGGCCCTCATCACTTCGCCGCCGAATCTCCGGCGCCGCCCAGCGGGGCAGAGCCAGGCCAGGGCCGCCCGCCCAACCTGGCCAGCTGCCTCTTCAGCCATGGAAGCTGCCGGCAACCCTGCGGCTACGGAGACAGGTGACCGACCCGTGGCGCTCTCCGCCTTGCACGCCCCTCCCGCGGGTCTCTGGAGGTTGAGTGGGGCGGCCGACAGCAATCGGCACGCGAATTCGACCTCCCCACCTTCTTAGAGAGGGTTACATGGGGTCTTCCAACCGTCCCCAGAAACACTTGTGCGCCCCAGTGCGTTCCTGGAGTTTGTCTGCTCCACGTCACCAAGCTGCTCTCAGGTCTGGGTGCAGGCCAAAGCCTGGATAGTCTTCCTTTCTTCATTTATAAGGCCCCCTTTTTGGGTGCAGGTGGGCCCTACGCCCTTTTCCCTCGCAGGTCGTGGACATACGAGGAGTTCCTGGGATGAGAGGGACTGTGCCTCGGAACTTCTCTTGGCTCCCCGAGGACTGTTTTACAGGCAGCAAGCGCTCAATAATGGTATCGGTGGCAGTAAAAGAGCCCACGGCTTTATTTTATTAACTATTTCAGCTTCTCCCCTCTTCCTCCTCCTCCACCTCCGCCCATGAAATGGTGCACTCTCCCTTTAAGACTAAGATGGTGGCTTGCTACGATCGGGACTCCACTTCCGGTGGGGAGGGGGGCGGGACCCCAGCCCGCTCACGCCGGAAGTGGTTTGCGTTTTCAAGATGGCGACTCCCTATGTTACTGACGAGACCGGCGGTGAGTGCGGGAGGCGCGGAGCCGCTTCTCCCCGGGCTCTCGGGGCAGGGGTTCGGACTTGGAAAGGGGTCTGTGCCCCGCCCATCCCGGGGCCCCTCCTTTGCCCCGCCCCCCGGACCGCCTTCCCCATTCATTCTCTCCTGCGGGGTGTCTCCTGCGCCCCCTTCTGGTCTCGTGTTTGGGGGTCTCTGCTTCCGGTCACCCAAACCCTGGGGTCCTTCAGTGCTGGTCCCTGCTTCAGGACCCTCACGGGCCCTTAGCTTTTCTCCAGCAGTTGGAGCACTCATATCTCTTATAGGTTTTTCAGCCTTGGGGACTCCTACACTCTCAGTTCCCTCCAATTCCTGCCCTCCTACTTTTCCCCTCCCCCATCTCAGCTATACTTGCTTTCTGCCCTACCTCAGTCCCATTTTCATTATTTTTCTCGAAGCGGTATTTGCTGAAGACCTTCTCGTTTCTACATAGTACTTTTTCCTCTCCCTTATCTTCATCTGTTGGGTCACTGAGGTTTAGAGGTGTGAAGGGAAGAGGACCCTAATATAACTTTCAGCTTGAGTTTTCTCCCTGATGGAGCCACCCTTCGCTATCTTATCCTGTGATGGTGATAGAAATTGAGGGGTCTAAGGTGGGAAGAGGCAAACAGGAAAGTGTCTAGTGGCTTTTCTCCGAAGCCCTTTGACAAGTGAATAAAACCCACTCTTCCTTCTGGCTGAAGAATTTCCAGCCTGGCTGGTCGAGATGCTGAAGTGTCTGCTGTGTATGTGAGGTGTATGTGTTGGAAACGGAGAATCACAGCTTTTATCTTGGTTTTGTCCCTTCCTAATGACCTCATCTTTAGAAAAATATGCGTAGTAGTAATAGCTACTCAATGATGATCAAATAATATATGTGAAAGCAATTTACAAAATGCTGTGCAAGTGCAAAGTGTTTCTGTTTTTGTAGCCCTCTTATGTGTAGTCTGTAGAAGCAACACTGTGCCTGTGCCTTGGTACACACGGTCTGTTTTAAAATGTGCCATTTTGCTTCTTGCTCTGCTGCTTTCCATGTTCCTTACACCTCTTCCACCTGTCTTATGGTACCTGATGACAACCCAGGTTGCTGCTACTTCTCCCCAACCTCACAATTTAAAAGTGGTACTACCTCTTTCCTTCTGTTCTCTACCCAGTAGCTCCTTCATGAATTACCAATTTTTAATGTGTGCTTTGAAAATACTACTTATCCAGTATATTTCTCTTTACTCTTAATCATTTTCTTTACCCTGACTCCGTGAAAATCCAGGTATGACATCTCACCCTACCTTGCCACTAAAAGCTATTTTCTGTTTTTAGTGACTATGTGGAAGAGAAGAAGGAATAAACTGCTTTTTTGTTTTCCTTTACTATGTCCAGATCGTTGATCTACCACTGTCACTAATCCTCATGGAAGGTATTGCCATGCAATTATAGCAGTTTCTGTAAAACTTTAGTGTCATCATTTACTGCCCACAAGGACCCAGACCTATTGCATATTTTTTTCTCTCCTCTTTTTCTTGCTGTCATTTTCAGTGTCTCCAGCACCATTGGAATACTCTGATCTCATAGTTCCTCAGCATGAGACGGTCGACTTTGCTTTGTATTTTCAAACCAGTTGCACATCAGAATCACTACAACCTGGATCTCATCTAGGACACCACTTTTTCTTCAGGTGCTCCCCATCACTTTAGCCTCCTTATCAGTCACTTATTTCACTATCTTAAACCCTCAGGATCAGCTTTGTGTCCTCAGGTTCTCTGGTTCTTGACCTTTCCATTTCATTGAATCTGTCAGTACCTTATGGCCTTTGGTGCTGCCCAGCTAGACCTCTGTGACCAGCCCCTTTGATAATATCCTCTTGCTTTCTTTATTCATTTTGATTTTCTATACTAAGCAGGCACTTCTGTTATCTCTAATGATGGCTATGATTAGAGATGTTTTCTTGGCTTCTGCTTCTAGGCCACAGCATGTTGCTAGAGAAAAAGTACAGAAGCTATCAGATTCAATATAACTTAATATAACTTCTGCCAAGATCATGGCTTCTAATCATTCTTTTCTTTTTAAAACAATTTTTTGCTAGGCGCGGTGGCTCACGCCTATAATCCCAGCACTTTGGGAGGCTGAGGTGGGTGGATCAACTGAGGTCAGGAGTTCAAAACCGGCCTGACCAGTATGGTGAAACCCCATCTCTACTATAACTACTAAAATTAGCTGGGTGTGGTGGCGTGGTGGTGTGGGCCTGTCATCTTAGTTACTCGGGAGGTTAAGACAGGACAATCGCTTGAACCCAGGAGGCAGAGATTACAGTGAGCTGAGATCGCGCCACTGCACTCCACTCTGGGCGATAGAGGGAGACTCTGTCTCAAAAATAAATCAATAAATAAAAATTTAAATTTATTTTTTATGTTCTTCCATAGCTGTTTTCCCCAAACTTTTCCAGCTCTGTGTGACCATCCCTTTTAATTCTCCTTCTTTTGGCAGATGACTTCATTTTTATTTTACTGAAAAATCAAGGCCTATCATTTTTGTTTCCTTTTTCTTCATAGCAAGATTTTGTTTCTTTCTTTCTTTTTTTAAAATGTAGGGATGCAGACTTGCTATGTTGCCCAGGCTGGTTTTGAACTCCTGGCCTCAAGTGATCTTCCCATCTCAGTCTGCCAAAATGTTGGGATTACAGGTGTGAGCCTGCACCTCTCCCCAGATTTCTTGAATGTGAAGAAATTTACTCCTGATATTTCTGTTTCCTTGTTGCCTATTTGTTTCTTAACTCTTTGCAGCCATTATTTCTAGCACTACCCTCTCTCGAGTTGCCTATCCCTTTTTCTAATTGTTTGGTGAATATCTTCACTCTTGGATGTACTGTTATACCTCAAATCCAACCTGACCAAAACCAGTATCACAGTATCAGTTTTTCCATCACTTTCTGTTAAAGGCACCATTGTTCTAGCCAACCCAAGATAAACTTTTGTGTTGTTTCTTTTTTTTTTTTTTGAGACGGAGTCTCACTCTGTCTCCCAGTAGCGTGATCTCGGCTCACTGCAACCTCTGCCTCCCTGGTTCAAGCGATTCTTCTGCCTCAGCCTCCTGAGTAGCTGGGATTACAGGCGCGCATCACCACGCCTGACTAATTTTTGTATTTTTAGTAGAGATGGAGTTTCATCATGTTGGTCAGGCTGGTCTCGAACTCCTGACCTCCTGATCCACCCGCCTCAGCCTCCCAAAGTGCTGGGGTTACAGGTGTGAGCCACTGCGCCCGACTGTTTCTTTTTTTAATATTCTAACTATACTTGATTTTTTTAGAACACTTTTAGATTTATAGAAAAATTGAGAAGATGCTACAGAGATTTCCCATATACCCTATACTCGGTTTCCCCTATAACTGTCATCTTACATTAATATGGTACTTTGCTTTTAATTAATGAAGCAATATTGATATATTATTATTAACTAGAATCCATACATCATTTCATTAGTTTTTTTTCAGACAGGGTCTGCTCTGTCACCCAGGCTGGGGTGCAGTGGTGCAGTCACCATTTACTGTAGTCTTAACTTCTGGACTCAAGTGATCCTCCCACCTCAAACTACTGAGTAGCTGGGGCTACAGGTACACACCACCACTCCTGACTCATTTTTGTATTTTTTGTAGAGGTACAGTCTTGCTCTGTTGCCCAGTCTGATCTCAAATTCCTGGGCTCAAGTGATCCTCACGCCCTGGCCTCCCAAAGTGCTGGGATTACAGGTGTGAACCATCACACCTGGCTGATTTCCTTAGTTTTTACTTAATTTATTATTTATTTATTTATTTATTTATTATTTTTTTGAGACAGAGCTTTGCTCTTGTTGCCCAGGCTGGAGTGAAATGGCGAGATCTCGGCTCACCGTAACCTCTACCTCCCGGGTTCAAGTGATTCTCTTGCCTTAGCCTCCCAGGTAGCTGGGATTACAGGTATGCGCCGCCCTGCCCAGCTAATTTTGTATTTTTAGTAGAGACGGGGTTTCTCCATGTTGGTCAGGCTGGTCTCAAACTCCAGACCTCAGGTAATCTGCCCACCTCAGCCTCCTAAAGTGCTGGGATTACAGGTGTGAGCCACCATGCCTGGCCTTTTTACCTAATTTTTTTGTTGTTGTTCCAGGATCTTATCCAGGGTACTACATAATATTTAGTTCTCATGTCTCTCTAAGCTCCTCTTGGCTGTGACATTTTCTCAGGCTTTCCTTGTTTTCGATGACCTTGAGTTTTGAGGAGTACTGGTCAGGTATTTTGTAGGATGTCCTTCTATTGGAATTTGTCTGATGTCTTTCTCATGATTAGATGTGGGGTATATGTTTTGGGGAGGAAGACCAAGAGGTAAAGTGACATTTTCATCACATCATATCAGGGTACATAGAATCACAGTGATTTTTTACTGTTAATTTTTTTGTTTTTTTGAGACAGAGTCTTCCCTCTGTTGCCCAGACTGGAATGTGGTGACACTGTCATGGCTCATTGAAGCCTTGACCTCCCAGGCTCAATCGATTCTCCCACCTCAGCCTCCTGAGTATCTAGGATCACAGGCGTGTGCCATCATGCCTGGCTAATTTTTTTTTTTTTTTTTTGGTAAAGATGGGATCTCACTATGTTGCCCAGGCTGGTCTTGAACTCCTGAGCTCAAGGTATTGTCCCCCTTAGGCCTACCAAAATTCTGGGATAACTAGGCATGAGCCACTATGCCCAGCCTGTTAGTATTGACCATGATTATCTGGCAG